GTTATTAGTGTGAAATTTAATTGACTGGTATAAGAAGCGGTAGAGTTTTATAGGAAATATGGTAGAAAGACATGAATTCAAAGTGCTCAGTAAGGCCACGGGTCACTTTAGGGAGCCGGGGTCGGATCTGTGCCAGAGAAGGGTGGAAGGTGTTGAGTAAATGCAAACGAGTTGGCCCCATCGAGGAGCGACAGTAAAGCTGATAACCCACTTTCCACCCACCCAGAGAGGACCTCTTTATAAGGGCTTTCTGACGGGGCCCCAGGCACCTGAGCATCCCCAAAAATAACCTTCTCTGAATCCTGATCCAACGGGCTGTGGTTTCATGCCAACATGTTTCCCCCTTAACAGCACAGCACATGGTAGTCTCTCTTTTACTCTCAGTCATTCACGCAAACAAATCCTGTCATTTAATGCTAGCTTTAATTGTACATCACTTGTATGGATTAGAACAAAGAAAATGATTGATTTGGAAATTTGGAAATATAACATTTCATGTGTTTTTAGTAGACATGCCGGATCAAATAGTCAACTTTCAAGAGACTCTGTTGAACCCTGCCCCTCAGTTGTAACTTCACATATACATTGATATGCAATCCCAGTGATGGGTCAATTTTTCCACTTTAGAATACACACAACAATCCCAACAATCTCTATTTTCGGGCTTTGTGGTCACAATGGCACAAAATATGGAAAGTGTGGGAAGTTGTTGAGGGTAATAAAGAGGTGCAAAAAATAAAAAAAAGAGGCCTTTGCGTGCTGATTGTATTTCATTTTCATGGCACAAAGGCAAGCAGCGGAAACAGTGTCTTACAGCTTGCTTTAGACGTAATAGTCCCTACAGAAAAGCTTCTTTCCTTTCTCAGAGGGCGCATCCAGATTTACAGCTTGACAGCAGTAACAGATCATGGCTGAGACACAGTTCTCTGGCAATGAAAGATGTTCTTTACATTACAATTGGCAGGTGGTGGTTTCAGACCACATTGCTTAATCAGAAAACACAGGGTTCGGTACTTTACTAATACTAAATTTAAGAAGGGGATTATAATGAGACAGCAGAACATGCTTGTCATTCATCTGTAAATCTTAAGTAATCTTAAATTGTCCCTGACACTTTCAAACCCACAGTAAGTCACTGTCATATTAAAATGATCGTTACTGTGGTGTGAAAATTTGTTTTTTTGGATATAATTATTACAAATTAAAAGGCCATGCAAGTAGAAGACATGTCAAGCAGCACACGTTTAGCCAGGTTAGGCAAATGTTAGGGGTCAGGAGGTTCCCAGTTATTAGGAATCGTTGAAACATACCAGGAAAGTTTATTAAAAGATAGAAGGTTTTAAAGGAAAGAACATAGTTTGGTATAAAGTGTAAACAACATTAGAAAATGTCAAGTAGCACATTGGGTCTCACAGAGTTTTTTTCATTCACAGTACAACTGTTAGGGCCATTTCTGAACTTCAGCTTGTCACACTTCATCATAGAAAGTTCCCATTTTCAAAGGGTTTCAGATCTGTGTGATCATTTTCCCAATCTGGTTCTTATTCAACTTACTGTAATAATGGCCTGCAGCCAACACAACCCCAACAGACATTTCTATTTCTAATTAGGACGTTTCTGGCCCAGAGACAGCCCTACTGACTGCAGTTCTCCCCCTGTGATCAAGCTAATTCAAGGTTCCTTTAAAGCATCTGCATGGCAGGTTGTTCCAAACATCTTCATGAGCTGCCTGTTTCCAAAACAAAGCCACAGCACTGTAATTACAATATGACAATAAACCGAGTTAACCAGCAGTTGACCTAACAGAATCTCAGCTCCACCCAGAGAGCAGTACTGATGTGACCTTCAAAAGAGAAACAACAACAAAAGAATATCCCATTGAATCCGCTAATGAGTCGTCAGCGGTTTTCTACGTAGGAGAGTGAAACTGCTGAGGCGAGAGCGGCTAATGTCAGTCATGTTGGCCCTGTCATTCCTCAAGTGGCCTTTTGCCTCGTAAGCGATAGCCTGAGAAAGGGCAGCAATCTTATCATTGAAGGGAGCACACAGAGAGGAGAGCCAGACAGCAGGGACGGCTGTTCGGGAAAGAATGAAAGAGACACAACACACTCACATATCTGGAAACAGATAATTGTTTTGATAATGGATTAAGATTAATGAGATATGGGGAAAAAAATCTTAATGTGTTGTTCATATATATCTGGAACATAAAGTTACAGTTTTTTTATGACAGTAGACTGACTCTGAATTATACAGATCACAACTGAGTAATGACAATCTCTGTTAGATCGAAACATTTGGTCAAATAAATTAAATTTACTGGGAGCGATCAGTACAGCGTGCAGATCTTTTGTCTCACTTTTGCCTTCTGTTCATAACTTTTTGCATTGATTTTCTATTTTCCAGGCAGCCACATGTTATAATTAATTTTACAATGTTATGAAAATCCATTTGCAGAGAGATCTGAAATGTTATAGATGTTGTTACAAGCAGAGACTGTTTTGAAACCTTCCTTGTTAGTGCACTCAGGGACAAGCAGCCAAACTTTTAAGAGTCAGCTCATTAGCCACGTTGTCAGAAAATCAAAACTAAAAGACAAAGCAAACATGAACAATTGACAAGGCTAATAAAACTCTGGTTGTTTTGTGGAAGAAAAAGGCAGCCATGTGTGAAAACTCGTATATCAGAGCGTCCTTTAAAGCACCAACAGGGAGAGATATGCTTTTCCAAAAGACACTGTGATAAACGGGGTCAATCAATGGGACATGGTATGAGCTGACCAAGAGCAATGTAAAGTTTATACAGATTTGTAATTAATGAACAAAAAAATCTATAACCACTGTCCACTACAGCTATATACAACCAGCTGTAACCACTGCCTAGCATTTATATCCCACTCTTATGGGAGCAGCAGTATCCTAATGCTCAAGCTCTTTGGTATATCTCAAGTGGATGCTGTGTCAGTCCTGGGAACCCTAAACAAAGATAAAGCTGCCGTTCCTGATGACTGGAGAGCTGCTGTAGCACTAGACAACGCTGGAGGAGGACAGGGAGAGGGGCCATCAGATAGACAAGGAGGGTGAGGGATGGTTTCACAGAGGACGGGATACGAAGTAAAGGCAGGCTGTAGTTCTGTATCTCTGTGCGAGGATTAACTGATATCGTAGGCAACGCAACCTCCTTCACTCCAGTTTGTGCTGGTCTGGTTAGGGGACAGACAGTACAAATGCCCTATCTGGATGTTGTTGTCCACAAATGACTTTTTATGGCAAGCCCACGGTTTGCTCAGTTGTGTATTTCATCAATCAGTTGATGTACAAGCCCAC